ATAGAGGTGAACAATCATTTCTATAGAGAAAGAGAGCAAACAGGTCAGAGACAACACACACATACAAATGGCCAATAGTATTTGAAAAGATGCACAACCTCCATCATAATTAAAGAAATACAAATTCAGCTGGGGAACCATTTTGCACCTAGAGCTTGGCCAAGATGAAAAGTCTGATAGTACCAAGTGTCAGCAAGGACACAGAAACAGGCACTCAGATCTACTGACAGTGGCCAGGACAGCCTCTCGGAGGACAATTCAGCAGCATCTATGATCATTTTAAAGACAACATTCCACTCAGAGGAATTTATTCATCAGATATACTCGCATAAGTATACACAAAGGTATGTTCAATGATGTTCTTGAAGCAAGGTTTCTGGTAGTAAAAATAGAAAACAACTTAAATGTGCAGGTATTAAATAGGAGGTGGATCCACGTGTACTGGATACCCTTGATAACCTAGAGGCAGCTGAAAGAGATCATTAAAGGGAAAGACAGGAAGTTCCAGAATGGTGTATAGAGCATGATTTTTGGGTTAAAAAATACCATGAAGAGAAAACATCTGGCCATATATATATATATATTTTTTAAGTCAATAGTCCATAGCTTTTGGAGAGTACAGTGGAATTGTTGGGGGCACAAGAAGGAGGAAGGTGGTTTATTTTTCACTGTGCATTTCTGTTGTTTTTTTTAACTTGAGGGTGTGTTACTTTTGTAATTTAAAGAAGTATCAGTATTAGAGAAGTATTTACAACATCTTCAAATTCTTGAAGCCAATCAGACAAAATCAAAGTGTCTTCCCTGCACTCCAAAGAAAACTGGGCAGAGAACCCAGATGGGAGCTCACGTAAGTGGTCAACAAGTAAATGAAATGTCTACCCACAGTAGCACTAAATTCTCCCTCCTCCCTGGATCCTCGGCGCACCGTTCCCTCCTGCAAGGCACCAGTTGAATGTTTACCCTCCTGGAGATAATGCAGTTCATATACCAGCACAAGGCCCTCCCCCTTCCTTCTGCACACTGGTAGCATATCATATATGGCATGTCACCATGTTTTTTATTCAACACTTTATCTTGAGGTGCTCAGTGGCTACAGTGTTCCACTCTGTGGATACATCCTAATTTATGTAACTTCAGTGCTACTGATGGACATCCAGGCTGTTTCCCTGCTTTTGCTGCTACAGACAACGGTACAGATCCTTGCACGGTGACCACTGTGTACATGGTGTGCAGGTTGGGCACATTCCTAGGTCTGGCTATGGGATCAAAGTAGAAATTATAAAATTTCCCCACAGTTTTACATCTATTATACAAAACTCCCTACACCTTTATGGACCATATTGAACCTTCCTCATCTTTGCCAATCTGATAAAAACGGTCTCCTGCTATAAACTTTCTGGTAGTAAATATCAAAAGGTTTAGACTTGCACATCTCCTCGGATCAGAAATTCCACTTCTAGGAGTGTACCCTAGGGAAAGAATAAGGGATAGTGGGCAAGATGTTCACTGCAACCGGTTTGGTGGACCAATGCCTAAAATGTACCTCATATTGTGCTTGAATTTTCACTTCTTTTTTGTACCATGAACACATTCTTTCCTCTTTTTTTTACCACCACCCTTTGGCCCTAACTCTCAATGGCTTTCAACCACCATTAATGGTTGGCACGTCTCCTTTGTCAATGTTAAAAATAAAACCGGCAGTTGTTTTACCAGCAAAAAATGGGTTTATTTGGGAATAGCAGAGAATTGCAATCCAAGACAAGCCTGGTAAGGCAAAACCATAGGCAAGTCCAGAGAACAAAAGAGAGGAATGCTCTTTTACAGAGGAAAGTGAGAAGTAGGGAGGGCTGTTATAAACAAAAAGTCCCTTAGAGTAAACTGGGAGTTCAAAGTATAGTGGCTTTTCATTGGCTGAGTTGTGACAGTCTCTCATTGGCGGGGCTGTTGCCGGAGGAGTAGAAAACCTTTCTTTCTCCTGCTGGGATACCAAAGTAGTAGCTAAAGTAGCAAGGATTTACAAGGTTTCTCTTCCATTTGGGTCTGCAATTAAGGAGTTTAGGAGTGGTAGGGCGTGAGATCGCTCCCTGCTGGCTTTCCAATTTTATTGTAAAGGAGGTTCCCTTTTATTTTCACACCTCAACCTTTTTATTGAAGATTTTTAACAACTTAACAATATGAAAAATGCTTTAATAACAACAGCAGACATTTGTAATTATTTTCCTTTTAATCCTTTACTGTAAAAAACTTAAAACATATCAAAGTAGAAAGAATATTGTAACAAACCCCCGTCTGCATCACCTAAATGTGACAATTAGTATTTTGCTTCAGTTTTTCCCCCTCCGCTGAAGCATTTTCAAACAAGTATCAGGCTGATATTTCACCCCTAAATACTTCACTATATATAAAAACTAAGAACATTTTCTAAAGGAACTCCAATGTTATATTGTTACCCAATAGATTAGCAGTAATTCTTTTAAAACTTCTGTAACTTTTTTTTTTTTTTTTTTATTTGCGAGAGAGAGAATGAGAGACAGAGAGCATGAGAGGGAGGAGGGTTAGAGGGAGAAGCAGACTCCCTGCCGAGCAGGGAGCCCGATGCGGGACTCGATCCCGGGACTCCAGGATCATGACCTGAGCCGAAGGCAGTTGCTTAACCAACTGAGCCACCCAGGCGCCCCAAAACTTCTGTAACTTTTCTTTTGAAATGTCATGTTTATATAAAAGTTGCAAAAACAGGGCACAGATCTCTCATGCCCTTAACTTGGATTCCCCACATGCTAATATTTCTGAATACTGAGAATACTAGAACACGAAAATCAGTTGCAGACATGACACAGGGCTTTTCCTGGTCACAAAGGCCCTCTACTCTCCCTGGGCCACTGCTCTCTGGCCAGAGGAGATGCTCCAAATGGTACACACCAAAGCCCACGCCCACTCCTGTCTCCTCCCTTGTTCTTCACATTTCAAAACCATAAAAGAACTGATTTCTTCCCAAAAAAGTCAAATAAAAGATGCATAAATATCCCTTTAAGCACTGTACCAAGCCTCAAATCCAAGGCTCCCTGTGAGTCCTCAGGATATTATCTGTGCAATACACAAGGCACTACAGTGGACATTTCCCACAACTTATTTCGTGCTTTAATTACTGTTATTTTATTGACTCACTCTACAAATTGCCCTGCTCAAACATCCAGGCAAAGCTGTGGCTAAGCTGTCCCCAGCAGCATCACAGTGACCACTTCTGACCCTAGGATGGTGACTCAAGAAGTAGAACATTTTAAATGCTAAGAAACTCTACCAAACTGCCATCTGAAAATCCTTTACCTACAGGTTCTTCCACCAGCACAGTATGAGGGGTCCTGTTTCCCCCAGTATCATTTGACAGTACATACCATTCACATCCAATGGCTAAACACAGCTGATGAGCAAAACGTGGACCCAACGTCTTTCATAAAGCCCCCCACTACTAATGAGGCCAAGTGTGTTGACTTCTGAGGAACTTGAAAGAATTACACTCAAAGACTTCTTTAGCAGTGGAAGCCACAATAAAATGAATAATAGTTTGCACAAAGGCCTGCTCTGAGACTTCTGTGCTGTTATTAAAAAATAAAACACCAGTGACTAAGGGCCTGCTCTAGGCTTGTGAAATAGTGAATGCAGCCCCAGGCCTCATGGTGCTCACCATGAGGATGCTCAGAGTAAGCAGGGGAGCATCATCCTCATGCCTGTGATGTCTGCAAGAGGTACAGAGGGATACAGTAAACAGGAAGGGCAGGAGCCCCACAGCTATTGAAAGTGAGGAATGAGGACGTGTAGTCAGACGAATGGTGGCCCCAAAAGATATGTCCACAGCCTAATTCCTGGAGCCCGTGATCTTATTCGGAAAAACAAAAAGTCTTCGCAGATGTGATTAAGCTCAGAATCTTTAAATGAAGAGGTCATCCTTGATTTTCTGATGTGCTATAAATTTAAGGACAGGTGTCCTTATAAGAGACACACAGAGGAAACTTGACAGTAGAGAAAGACCACGTAAGACAAAGACAGAAACCACAACAATGCAACTACAAGCCAAAGAATATTAAGGATTGTCAGTAGCCACCAGAAGCTGGAAGAGGCAAGTAATGGAGGAGGGGTTGGGAGTGGAGCCAACACCTTGATCTGACTTCTGGCCTCCAGAATTGCGAGAGAATAAATCTGTTGTTTTAAGCCACCCAGTTTGTGGCAGTCTGTTTTGGCAGTCCCAGAAAACTAATATAAACATCATACTACTTCTACTTTGTATGTATTTTGGAATTTCCATAACTTGCATAAAAGTTTTAGTGGCCTATCCTTCATTTGTGAGCTGAGGTTATGTCAAGGTGAGAGAGGCTCCGGAAGGCCCTAGATTCACATGAGTGGGGCCAGAAGTCACAGACATCCCTGTGAAGTCTGATTGCCTGTTCTCCATCAAGACTCCTCTCACTAGGCCACTGTTGCTCCCGGAACCCTTATGAGCACGTCCACCTCAGGGTCTTTGCATGGGTCATCCAGGTGGTCCCTGCTGCTTCATGCCATCCTGTAGCTTTCAGGGCATCTGCAGAGGTCTCCCCCACTCTCCATCCCCGTGCCTGAGTTGTTTTTTCATAGGCCTGCCCCAAGTGGTGTGATCGCTTTCTTAATGTTATACCCCACTCCACGTCAACTTGGGGGCATGCTGTAGGGTCCTGACACATGTTCTGTGTAAAACCAAGGTCTTTGGGTACATACCAGTTCCAGTCTGAGTTGGGCTCTCACAGGGCCCCTGACTCCCAAGTGACAGCAACACCAAATCTCCCAAACCTTGGCTATGGCTAAGGGGCAAGCCAGCAGGTTGGGCCTGCCTTGTCCTAGGCACAATGTCAACAGCACACCTGCAAACGTCTCTGAGCTGTCAGCTCCCCACCTAAGAAGACCCAGTGGAAACTGTCCCTCACACTCAGCCTGACAGTGGGCTTGTCCTGACCACACAGAGGCAGAGAGGGTGGTGTGGCACACAGACTTTATTCTGACCGCTCCCCGAGTCCTGGGTCCAGGCCCACGTCCTGACCAGCGAGCGGGTTCACTCAGCACTCAGAAAGACCCTCTTGCGTGCCGTGTTGGTGTATGGGTGCCAGCGCCACTCCACGTCGGCTGTGGCCTCCTGCTCCAGCGTGCCCAGGCGGATCGTGTACACTGGGGGGCGGAGATGGACACATTGCCACCTATGCCGCCAGCACCCCCCCACCACCAGAAGGGCAGGGAAGCCCCAGACTCACACTTCAGTTCAAAGCGAGGTCCGACCTCGGTCAGCTCCACACTGCGGTGGCTGGTCTTCCTATATACATGGTGCCTGAGGCAAGGGGAGGCAGGGCACGGGTAATGGAAGACAGGGAGCAGATGTGGGTCAGTAACAAACAGCAGTGGGACACAAAGGTCAGGACACTATTCTGAGGCCAGCCCACGGACCTACCGGAAGGAGATATAGTCATCTTGGTTCGCGAAGGTGATGACCCGGTGGCTGTCATCTTTGGGCACAGGGAACAGGTAACGGAGTATGTCGGAGACCTGGGTCAGAGGGAAGGAGAGTGGCAAATGCCCAGCCGGGAACTCCGTGCCCCCAGCCCTCATCACCCCGTGGACCCAGACTCACCCGCTTGCCTAGTCGGGAGGAGAAGCCATGCATGATGAGGTGAGGCTTGGCCTCGGACACGGTGCCCAGGTCAGGGATGTCGTGCCGCATGACCACATTGCACAGTGTGAAGTAAGCAGTAGGGCCGAAGGGCAGGTGGCTAACAATGAGCCCCACTGGTGGGGCCAGGCGGGCCGTCAGAAACCTTATCTGCTCTCAGACAACCACCCCAGCAGACACCCTGTTCCCACCCACAGTATTACCAGGTGTGCCTCGATGCTCATGGACAACCAGCAGGTCGGTGACACCATTGGCTTTGCAGGCTCGCACCAGTGCCCCTACCTCATGCCGGCCACGGTTCATGCGTTGGGCACCTGGGAACACCAACTTCAGCTCCTGTACATGAACCCGAGTTAGGACTGGGGCCACTAGTGCCTTAGCACCTCCCACTCACTTCCCACTATTGGTACCTTTGCAAACATCTTGAGGCGGGAACTGGGGTCTCGGGAGGTAGTGATCATGACCTTAGGGTCCTCGACCCCTGCCCATCGATATTCATCATCCATGTGGTTGGTCACACCTGTCAAGAGCATGAGAGGCAACAACGAGACACTGTCTTGGGAAATAAAATGCTAACTTGAGGGTGGCTGAATCTGTCTAGAGCAGCACTGTCTGACAACACCTTCGACGATGAACATAAAATGCTCTATATCTGCACGGAGCAAGAGGGTGGCTCCCCAGCCACATTGGCTATAAACACAAGTATGACTGACAAACTAAATTTTTAATTTTGATTTAATTTTAGTTTATTTTTTTATCACAGAGGGCTAATGGCTACCACCTAAGCTCAAGTCTAGATTCTGTTAAGGCCAAAGGTAACAGACTCCTTTCCCTCATAACAATAATTCATAAAGTCTGTGATACCTTTAATATTTATTGAATAATGCAATGAATGAAACATCTGGGTGTTAATGAAGTGCTGGGACCTGGGGACATGGCAGTGAACAAAACGGACATGGTCTTGCCTCAGCAGAGTTCACATTCTAGTAAGGGGGGCAATTAACAGACAAAAGAGTAAGTGGGATAATACTGTATGTTATATAAACGAAACTGGGAGCACTAAGAAAGAGCTTTCCTGAGGTGCCATCTGTGCAGAGTCATGAGGGCATCTGGGAGACAGTTTTGCAAGGAGGAGCTCCACAGCCTTTCCTTCAAGGTGTCTGCGGAATGAGACGGAAGCCAGCAGGCTCAAGTGCAGGGGGAGAAGCTGGCCCAGTGTCAGGAAAGTTTACCTTCACCGCCGGCGTCATCGAACTCCAGGGAACCCTGTAAGGCCAGAGCCTCCCTGCGTAACTCGGTGGGAATCAGGCGATTCTCTGCAGGGGGAACACAGAGGGGCTGAGTAAGACACATGCATGGAGCCCTCAGTTTATATAACACTGTGGCTTACAAAAACTGTAGACTTTATTAGAAAGTATCCTTTTCACTCATTTCTGTGCAGAAAGGTGATACACAACTTTTTTGGCAGGGGGAAGACAGAGACAAAACTACTTTTGTCTACATGCCAACCTGTTAATAATGGTTACAGGAGATTTCATTTTTTATGGTTCCTGAGTCTCATGGTTTTAGGGCTTTCTAAAATATTTAGTTGCAAGTATATACTGTTTTTGTAATTAGAAAAAAATTAACAAACTAATTTTTAAAAGAACAAATACAGAGTGCTCTTTCTGTATGAAGGTGGACCAGAAACCCTGAAACCCTCTGACAACAAAACTGCTAAACCTGATGCTTTGGGTCAGAGGTTTCCTCTGTGAACTAAAGCTAGACTTGGTTAAAAAAGGGCTGCGCTGTGGGCATGCCCACTTTGGAGTACAGAGCTCAATATGAACATGCCCTTGGAACCAGCAGGTCTTTCCAATATGCCCTGAAGAAATTCTTGTACATGGAAGAGAAGGTTCATAGCACCAATGCTGTTCCTAACTGCCCCAGACTAAAAAATGAGGTCAACATCAAGCACAGGGAAATGGGAGCCCCCACTACACTCAATAGATCTTAGAAACAATGCTGAATGAAAACATAAAGCTGGGAAAGAATACATACAACCTAATAACTACTTTGAAAACTGAAAACCAACCCCGTATGATTTAGGGATACAAACAAGTACGATAAAAGCACAAAGAAAAGCAAGGAAATGGCTTATTTTTAAACAGTATCCTGTATTGTGGTTATCTGAGTTGGGGAAAATATTCTTGAATTTCAATATATTGAGCATTTTTATTAATAATGTGGGCAGATAGGTCACAGGTATTTAACATAACGCTTAAGGTAAACATATACTCACATACCACATGCACTTTATATGTTTAAAACACAGAAAACCAAAGTGAATTTAAAATAATCAGAGGTAGTAAGCTGATGTACCATCCAGATAGGAAACAAAGTTCTACACAAGAACCCACACAAGAACCAAGAAAATAGGGATAAATATAACATTTCCATTCAGGCATGCTATCACTCTTCATTAGTATGACAAATAAAAAGTGGAGAAAATATTGCAAAATTAGATCCTAATTCACAAGTCGAATAAAATTAAATTCTCAACGGTTTAATGCTTTTAAAATACAACGGAATCATAATAACGCTAAAAAGACAGTAAGATATTCTTGTTATTTTGTACTGAAGAAAGTAGCAAAAAAAAAAACAATGGGGGTAGGTGCGGGAGGGAGAACATCTACAGGACAACGTAAAAATTTAAAATTTGGGAAGAACTAAACACACTATAAACAAAACTAATAGGCAAACTGTAAAATCTGGATACCGCAGCATATACGACAAGATATGAAATTTATAGCATCACGGAAGGGACATTTGCAAAGACAAAAGACAAGGAAAAAGGCCAGTAAATACTTGAAAGGATGCTCAGCCACACAAACACTAAGAAATGCTAATATAAACGCGTTTTATACCATTTGGTCTTTTACTCCGTTAGATCTTAAAATGCAAACAAATGGTCTTTTTTTTTTTTAATTTATTTATTTGACAGATAGGGGGACAGCGAGAGAGGGAACACAAGCAGGGGGAGTGGGAGAGGGAGAAGCAGGCTTTCCGCGGAGCAGGGAGCCAGATGCGGGGCTCGACCCCAGGATCCCGGGATCATGACCTGAGCCGAAGGCAGACGCTTAACGACTGAGCCACCCAGGCGCCCGCAAACCAATGGTCTTTTATAACGACAGGCCTAGAGCTCCCCCCGCCCCCGCTGGGGGGGCTGAGACGTGCCTACCTTCCAGTGCGCGCCGAACCTTCTCCTTCCTCTCCTGGGCGGTTCGCAGCGACTCCTCGCGGGCCTTGCGGTACAAGTACTCCCGGCGAAGGCGGGCCTCACGACGCAGCTAGGGAACAGAGGGCCGGATCAGCCTCTTTCTCGCCACGCACAGCCGGGCCCCGGGGGCCACCAGCCTTACCAACCCCAAGCCTAGGAATCATCCCCAGCCCTGCGCGAGTCCCCAACATCAAAAACAGGAGCTCAAACATCCCTCCTACCATCCTGAGCGCGACTTCCACGTGGGTCCAGGAGAATGCCGGGGCAGCGTAAGCAACGCCACCCTCGATTCTGCCCTCAACCAAGATGGTCGCTGGAGGCTTCGCTACACTCTGCTACTGTCGAGAGTGCCCAATGTTAAGATGACGGAGAGTGGGTTGGGAGTCGCAAGGCGATTGGCCAATCTGGAGGCGCATGCTTATTGGAACAGCCAATAGGCTGGCGTCAAAACTTTGTCACGTCGCTAGGATCGCCCTTACTAAAGATGTCGGTGCCTGGCTTCATTACTTATCACTGCTGTGCAGGATGCCCAATTTTAAGATGATGAACCGTTAGAGTAATCATAACTGGCGGTTCGAAATGACCCAGCAACTGTAAAAGCATAGCGGTTGACTGGAGGCTCGCCTACCGGCTCCTGGAATTAAAGCATCTTCTCCCTTAAAATGGCTGCTATACAGCTATACCTCTTCCATCACCACAGCTATCGCCCTACTATTAAAATGCGGCCTCTTATCGCTTCTCGGCCTTTTGGCCAAGTTCAAGTGTAAAATGCGGCCTCTTCCTAAAGCGACTCGGAACCACCCACAGCTCTAGCCAGCTCTAGCCGACTGTTCCGTTGCCTTACACCCTTCGGAGAACACAGCTAGTCAATTCTGAGTCGCTGTTCCCAAAAGCGCTTGCCTTTAGAAACGTTGGGCAACTCGGCCCACGGCTGGGAACGCCCCTTGAAGGTGAGCCTATTGGTTGTCATGGCGGTATGGCGAGCGGCGATTGGGCAACCTGTGAGGAGGCTGGTACCAGACCTCAGTACCGTGGGCCCATGGCTGCGCCGGACGTAAGGGCGCAGGTGGACTCGCTCCTTCTGCAACTGCTCCGGGACCTGGAAGAACTGGAGGCGAAGCGGGCGACATTGAACGCTCGGGTGGAAGAGGTGGGATCTTGGGGAGGGAGGGATGGGCGGGCATGCGGAGGTAAACTGAGTTTCATCGCTCTCCTCGTATCCCAGGGCTGGCTCTCGCTCTCTAAAGCTCGCTATGCCATGGGTGCCAAGTCTGTAGGTCCTCTGCAGTATGCCTCCCGCATGGAGCCTCAGGTCTGCGTCTACATCAGGTGAGGAGCCGTGCATGTTGGAACGGGTGGGCGGGCAGGGTCCAGGCTGGGGCCTCCAAATGTCGATCCTACCTTCTCGTTCTTCAGCGAGGCCCAGGACGGACTCCAGAAGTTCTGGGTGGTGAGAGCCAGCGCCCAGACTCCAGAAGAGGTGGGGCCCCGTGAAGCAGGTGAGTCCCCCTTTTTTCCCGTCAGGGCGTCCTCCCGATGTCAAAAACAAAATGTACACGATAATTGAGATGATTTTATTAAGAGTGTTGCGATGGAGAGAGCGGCCCAGATTGGAGGATCACAATGTCTCAGCAGGCTGTTTTTTAGTTTTGTTTTTGTTTTTGTTTTTGCTTTAGACTTCCATAGGGAGAAATAGACAAGTTATAGGTGATGTCCTTTACAGTTGGGATAGTTTTGCAATTGGGGGAAACTTCAGTCAGTTGAACAGAAAATGTTTATATGTCTGGTTTCAGAGGGACAAACTTCTAATCTCAATCATTTATGAGACGAACGGGAAGTCGGAGGGTCTGTCTGGCCTTTCAGCATGTTCAGGCAAAATGGGAAAAGTCAGTGTGTGGCTCCTTGTTTACCTTGTGGTAAACAAGGGGGTCATCTGCTGATCTTGTGAGAGTCATGAGGAGTGGTCTGGGCATCTCATCTGAATCACAAAGGGAAGGGTTGTTCTTTGTGGTAAGCTGTTTTCTGGAACATAAATGGTTGGAGGGATTTTCCAGCCTTCAGTGTTTGTCAGGATCATGAGCTCAGATCAAATTCAACATTGTCACAGAGAAGACAAGCGCAGGTAATGAGACCCTCAACCTCCAGTCTGTCTTTCTCCAGCTTTGCGCAGGCGCAAGGGTCTCACCAGAACCCCAGAGCTGGAGTCCTCCCCAGCCCCCCGGGACCCTCTGAACTGGTTTGGAATCCTCGTTCCTCACAGTCTGCGTCATGCCCAAGCCAGCTTCCGGGAGGGTGAGTAGACTTCTATCTGCAGGAAGAACTTGAGTACTAAAGCCATGCCTGGCTGGGGTTAATCTGCAAAGGGTTTTCCAGGTTTTATCCATAGCAGGCTTTTTTTGCACACCTGCTGTTTTTTCCAAAAAGCATTTACTGGCTGTTGGCAGTGTTCCAGGCTCATGCTAGGTGCTGGAGATACAGCAGGAAACAAAAGAGATAAACACCCCTCATGGAATGTTTATTCTGTTGAGGGGAGAATGAAAACATGCGAATAAATAAGTAGGCCCATATATAATACCAGGTAGTGAGAATTGTTATGGAAAAATAAGATAGGGTATGGTGGATGGAGTGGGACAGGAGTGGGTGAGGGTACCTATTTTACGAAGGGTGGCCTGGAAAGGCCTCTCTGAAAAGATGGAGAGAACTTTGTGGTTGATCTGGGGGATCAGTGCTATAGGCAGAGGGACCAGCCAGGGCAAAAGCTTTGAGGTGAGATCATGTTTAGGATGGCAGAGAGGAGGCCAAATGGGTTGGAGTGGAGTTTATGTAGCAGGGAGTGCCAGGAGCTCAGGTCAGAGGTGGCTGGGCTCAGGTGATTTGAGGTACAGGCCCTGATGAGGACTTTGGGAGTCATGGGTGGCTCTGAAGAGAGGGGGGCACAGTTGGACCCACAGAGTGATAGGAAGACTGTGGTGCTGGGTGGGAACAGACAAGAGCAGAGGGAGGAAGCAGGTGACGGGGAGCAGCCAGGCTTGAGATGCAGGTGGAGACAGTGAAGGAGAGGGTAAGTGATGGGAACCTGCATGTTTTGAGAATAGAAGCCACAAGATTTACTGACAGATCAATTTGAGAGTAAGGGAAGGAGAGGAATGAAGCCTGAGCCCACAGATTCCAGCAGGAACACCTGAGGGAATGAAGTTGCCCTCACCTGGTGTGAGAGAGCTGCAGCCAAAGGTAAGTCAGGAGTTGGGTGAGAGTATGTTCCTAGTGCTGTGTGGTGGAGACTGTGCTCGGGTGTCTGGGCACATGCATCTGAGTTTGGAGGAGACCTGGGCTGGAAAGAGAGATTTGGGAGCCCACTGCATAACACTCGTGTTTAAATTCCCAAGTTGCTGACACATACACAGCATTTAAGCTGAGATCAGCAGAGGGCCTCAAAATGTGGACAGAAGGTGGGAGGAGGAAGGGGAGAAACCATTCAAGGAGACTGAGAAGTAGTGGTGAGGCAGGAGCAACAACCAGAGGATGAGAGATCCCAGAAGCCAAGAGGAGAAAGTGCTTCCTGGAGGGAGGTGAGCAGATGTGTGGCCAGCTCTGCTGTCAGGCAGGTAGGCTGAAGACTGAACTGGCGAATGGACTGGGCACGGAGGGCCCAGAAGACTATTAAGCAGAAGCATCAGGCAAAAGCCACCTAGATGTGGATCCAGAATGTGGAATACTCCCGGGGGCAGAGAAAACAGAAAGAGAGAGGGCGAGAACAGTGAAGGACTATTATAATGAAGGAAAGAAGGAAGGAAATGAGGGCATGCAACAGTGTTTTTTAGTCCCTGTTGGGTAATATAAGGGAGTAAAGAAAGTCTGTTGAAGAGGTGACATTTTAGTAAAGATCTGAAGGAGGTGAGGGTGTGGGTCTAGTGAGGTTCTGAAGCAGCCAATGCAAGGCTCTTGAAATATTTTAGGAATAGTGTGGAGGCCAGAAAGTTCTGGAGCCTTTCCAGTACCTGGAGATATTCAGAGCCCCCTGAGTCATGTGTCACATCGAGGATACCATGGTGACAATCTTCTCTCTTCCTCTAGGCCTGCAGCTGGCTGCAGACATGGCCAGCCTTCAGATCCGGATCGACTGGGGTCGAAGCCAACTCCGGGAGCTCCAGGAGAAACTCAAGCAGCTGGAGGCTGAGTCTGCCTGACTTGTGACCAGAGGCGGGCAGTGAGCACAGCTGTTCTTTGGTGTGGCTGCCTTATCTCAGGCCTTCTTCCTTCACAGATTGCCCCTGCCCCTATTCCCACCCCAACTAATCCCTGCTCCTTAAAATTTCTCTGGTTTGCATGTTTCTAGCTTTGTTAGGTGTGAAAGTTTGAAGAGGCAAACTGAATAATGTTGAAAGTCACTACTGTGAAACCACTTCTAAGCTTGTATTCTCCTAGGACACATTCATGTGGGGCAGGGGCAAAGCTGTTAGGTTAGTTCATAAATAACCAGAACAGCCTCATGCATATATCAGCTGTGGCTTCTTTACAGGATGAAATACTGCACAGTTAGTGGCAGGGAAGGACAACAAATAGGTGCTTCAGTTTCACTAGATTCTCAAAACTAATTTTGATGTAGGAAAGAAAGCAAACATGGCTAACAAATCAGGACAGTTTGATTCCATGTCAATAAAAAACATGAACACCTAAGTAGATAGGTAGTCCTTGGCAGGTTTTAAGCCAGAAAGTAGAAAAGATCTGACTTAGATTTTCAAGGGAACTCTAGGAACTCTTCCTTTATCTTTATAGGAGACTGAGCTGCTTTTAATTTTTGAAGGGCCAAATGTATTTCATGTGCTGGGATCTGTGTCCTTGCTTCATTTTCCTACTGGGTTGTTGGTATTTTTAGTAGTTTCTAGGAGGTAATCTTTATGCTGCGGGAAAATTAATCCTTTGTTCATAATACGGAATGTAAATATTTTTCCCAATTTCTCTTGTAACTTTGCTTATGGTGTTTTTTTTTTAAACCTTTATTGTAAAATAAAACACATTAAACTGCACAAAATAATTGAATAGTTTAATGAATAAGGTGAAAGCTATAGTAACCACCACCCAGTTCTCATATTTTTTTAAATTAATTTTATTGATTTAAGAGTTGACTTTATCAATCAGCTGTTTTATCATCTCTGAATTTGGGGTTGTAAATGATATGATAAAGGAATTCTCCAGTATTTTCCTTAAGAACTTCTGTGGTTTCAGTGAGGTATGGGGTGAATCCTGCATCCAGCTTGTTTTTTCTACCATAGGTCTACATACTGTATGTTGAACCATTGATTTGAGATGTCACCTTTTTTTCTTTCACATAAACCCATACCGTATTTTGGAGCTTCCATTGTTTCATTGATTTTACTGTCAGTTAATACACAGGTACCACACTCTTTTAATCCTTGAGTCTTTAACATTTACTTTAATCGCAGTAGGTCGTATTTGTGGTTGGATTGGGAGGAATTGTTTATTTTGTTTTTGCCACATTGAGCTTGAGTTGTCAGTGAAAGCCTATGGAAGCACTCAAAAGGAAACTAGAGAAAAAAAGTACATCCCTTCTCACACAGGTTGAATTTCAGAACAAAATCCTGCTAGGAAGTGTCAACCCAGTGAGATTTTGAAGTCAAAATAAGTAAAAACACAATACGTTTTTGTTTTTCACAGAAAAGATATTCATGAGGAACTCCGTCCCGGATGGGTTCCTTTATTTTAGATGTAAGTTGATGTCGAAGGTCAAGCAATAGCCTTCATTTTACTGTTTGAATGCCCAGCATGGTAGGCAAATAGGGCCTGAGAAAACCACAAACGCTCTGCAATCTGCCCTGGCTCCAGTCCTTTGGGAGATCTCCGGGAGCAGGAGTTCCCGCCCCCTAGAGAGACCCGGATGTTCCAGCCCGCGGGGGGGGGGGGGCCTTGAAGCTGGGGCTCGCGCAGCCGCAGTCAGAATTTCCGGGGGCGGAGCGAGCCCAACGGGTAAGAAGCCGTTATGTGAAGGGGCAGACGGCAAGCTGAGGTAAGTGATGTCTACAGAAACGAGAGGCGTGTTTTTAACACTTCCCATATGGTCTAGCGGTTAGGATTCCTGGTTTTCACCCAGGCGGCCCGGGTTCGACTCCCGGTATGGGAAGAGGACTAATTTTTCGTTTCTACTGGCCAGGCCAGAATTTTGTATTTTCGCCGCTGGAATGCCTCAGGTCGAATTCGGCGTTTCTTTCCAATTAAGCCTGGAGAAACTGGGGCCCGGGGAGCTCCGGGACCTATCATTCTGTGTTTTGAACGAAGTATTAATTTTCATCACATCATTAAACTATTTTCTCGATCAGTAATTTATTAATTATATAGGATACCGTATACATTATAGATTTGAATACCATTATATTTAAATATTGAATAATATTTAAAATACTCAAAATTTATTGTCAATCTCTGGTGGGGGCACCCTCCGGGAGGGAGGAAGGGATGTGTGAAGTCAAGAAACTTGCAGCTTATGCTCCAGAGCCAGTCCAGAGGCTGGGCTGCAACAAGTGGAGCTGAGTCTCTGGAGGAGCATAGGATGAAGTGTATGAATGGACTGGAGAGGGCCAGTTGGAAGAAGTCTCTGGCAATTTAATTTTCTCTGGTCTTCCGGCCGCTTTGTTTGCCTTCTAGTCCAGTGGTTAGAGTTCTTAAGCAATCCAGTTTGCCCCCAACCCTTTATGGAAATTACTTAAAACTTAAGAATCCCTCTTGACCCCCAACACTTGCACACTTCCAGTCAAAAGGAGAGCCAAACATACAAACGAGATACTAAGTGCCTTTGTCAATTTTCCACCCCCTTTGTCTGGTTCACTTAGTCAACCCAGGGAGGTTATGTGCAGGGCTAAGGTCCTGCCTTCAGAAGTGGACCACTACACTCATTTATTCACTCATACATTTGGTAGGGGGGGAAGGGGGAGAAATTATTTCTGTAATCATATTAATTTAAATTCTATAGGTTAAAATAGGATACAGTGGAGCTGGGAAGTCATCACTCTGTCCTCACAAGAAAAAAAAGCTGAATAAACTAAAATTTAACAACTCTTCTTAGATCCATGGGAAAATTGAAGTCACGGCTGAATTGCTGCCTTGAAAATTGGGGGGAAGACTGACTACAGAGAGTCATAGTGTACCAGGCTCAGAAGCTGCTGCTGGAGCCAGTAACTGGTAGGAAAACTTAAAGGCTAATTGACCCTGTTGAGAGAAAAACTCTCTAAAAGCCTAATCTATAAAGGAAGTTTATTTTATTTTATTTTTTATTTTCTTTTACTTTATTTTATTTTGACATGTTTAATATTTATTGTTCTTTTGCAGAACAAGAATCCTAGGTAGTTGCTACCATGGTGGCTTAATTTAGACAAAAATAGCTAAGAGGCATCAATTTATTACCATAGCAATTTTAACAGCGACTCACTAAATTATTAACAGAACCATTTTCTAGAAAGTACTGATCTAGTCACATGAATATGACATAGGTGAAATACAAGAACAGTATAAACATTTTGTACAATGCACTTTTAGTTCTCCACAGTTTGCTGTAAAGCAAATATAACCTGGCTCTGATGTAGACAATTATTGATATAATTTTCAAGTTTTTCAATGTGAGAAAGTCACTGTGACTGTGGCCCTCCTTAACATGGAGCCCATAACACTCCCTGGGCAGGTTCAGACCCAACTCACACATCTACAAACCGACTAGAAATAGCCAGTCAGGTAAATGTCAGTTTTCCTCAAATGAAAACTGAAAACAAACAAACAAAAGATTTTGCCAGTTAGAACAGTTTCCAACTCCATTTGGGATCTAGGCATGGATCCAATGGCCATCAGAGTCAGAGCCCTCAGGAAAACTGGAAGAAATTCGTCAGAGATGGCAAAATCAAAGGTTTTCTACCTCAGCTGCAGGGTGATCAGCACAACCTCACCTCTCCTCCTGACTCCTCAGCCAGGACAGAGAGAAACAGGTAGATTCACCAGAGGAACTGGGGCATTCTTATTTATAAACTAAGGAAATGAAGAGGCCCCAACCAGAGCATGTACAGATTTTGTGAAAGAATAAAGCCCTTGAGTATGACATTGGTCAAAGGCAAAAGAAGAGATTTCTATCTGCAGTAACATCTTTAATTTTTCCCAAGGGGAAGCCATTTTAGATTTCTAAGTTAGCATGACTGTATAAACTTCATTTAAACCAAAAGCCTGATTTATGGCCCGCCAAGCCATAAAGGAAAACCATAGGTATCAATGAATACTCCTACTCCTTGCATTTAGCATTGCATTAATGTTAAATTAAAATTTATGATTCCTGCCTATATGTTCATCTGTAATCTTTTGACCTTTTTACAAGACGTAAAAAAAATCTATAACCCTGTACAAAGCGTTCGTTCTCTGGAGCATTATCTTTCCTGTGAAGAGTGTGTTTCCCAGGCAGCTGTCCTAACTTGGGCTGGGATAAAACTTTCTTTCTTTTAGAGTTTCTGAAAGTTTTATTCATTTTGCATTGACAACCCTCACATTCTTGTGGGTTTTACCTCCAGGAACCCTACCAGGTTCTTAGGGTCAAGACTGGAGAAGAATCCCCTGGTGCTTCTGGCAAAAGGAGGGAAAAGTAACCACTTGGAAAATTGCCAGCGCACCCAGTTCTCCTTAACAAAGGCCTATCCTCAGGGAAACTGTTTTACTAGAGCCCACCCAATCTGGGGGAAGAGAAATACCTAACCCTCTCTAGCCTTCCTATGTCACATAAAGGGAGAAAAAAGCTGGGAAGCACTTTTGAAGGTTATAGTCTTCGGGCAGAAGCTCAGTAAAAGACTATAGGATTATATAGTACTTCCCCCTCCTCCCACATATTACCACCGCATCACTAAGGTTCTTGTTATGATATATATAATACAACTTAAAGAACTGTAGGGCTCAGAATCTATGTAAGAAATCTGCTGGGAAACCCAAACACAGAAGAGGAGACTACAATAAGAACACTGGAGGAAATTTTAGCCTCTGATACCTACAGCCACAGCAAACAATAAACACAGAGTGATTCTTAGCCAGATAAATATAAAAGCTCACACTAATAGCCTATTTAACTTGGTTCCTTTTACCTGATACATCATATCTACCTTTTTTTTTTTTTTAAGATTTTATTTATTTGACAGAAAGAAAGCACAAGCAGGGGGAGCAGCAGAGGGAGATGGAGAAGCAGGCTTCCCACTGAGCAGGGAGCCCGATGTGGGGCTCAATCCCAGGACCCTGTCTGGGATCATGACCTGAGCCGAAGGCAGATGCTTAACCAACTGAGCCACCGGGGCACCCCTCATGTTTACCTTTCAATAAAACTTAAAAGTTGGGGGATAAAGCATGTCTATAGTTGAGAACCTCTGTCAGCCCATGTCCTATTTTAGGGTTTTGGAAGTCCCACAGCCTCCCTTCATTTTCTTCCATCTCTGTTCCTTGGAGTTCAGGTTCCAGCAGTTTTCCTGGTATAACATTCTCAGAACCCTTGTCAGCTTCCTGTGCATTTCATGGGGTTTCAGTCCTCAGACAAGAGGGTCCTCCATAGATCTTTCCTGGATAACCCCATCTCTATTCTTGCTTCTGCTGAGATGGCCAGTTGGATCCATGAGTCACAAGCCCAATCTCTTCAGCAAAAGATTGTCCAGCCACACCCTTGGCCCCTTTTTTCAGAGCACACTTTCCAACAGTGAATTTCTTAATATTTGAATCCTTTGTAATCTGGATAGCCTGAGAACAACCGAAATCATCAAGAGCTGGCTCCTTTTTGCTTAACTATCCTTTTCTTAATTTACTTCTTTCCTTCTGCTTTTTACTGTAAGCATCAAGGAGAAGCAGTCTGTGCCTACAACACTTTTCTTAGAAATCTCTTCAGCTAAATATCTAAGTTCATTGCTTCTAAGTTCTACTTTCTGTCAAACAGTAGAATACAATTCAGCCAAGTTCTCTACCACTTTAAAAGAAGAATTGCTTTTCTTCTAGTGTCCAATAACATGTTTCTCATTTCCTTCTAAGTTCTTGCCCAGAAGCACCTTCAACTTTCATATTTCTACTAAAATTCTGTTCATGTCAATATATGTATTCTCTAAAGAGGATAGAAGCGTTCTCTACAGTGCTCCTTACTTATCTTTTAGCTCTAACCAGAATAACCTTTAATGTTCATATGTATTTCCACTAACCCTCTCTTCAAGGCATTCTAGGCTCTTTCTATCTTGTGCCTCAAAATTCTTCTGCCTGTATCCCTTAACCAATTCCAAAGCCACATTCGACATTTTCAAGTATTTGTTACAGGAGCACCCTACTTCCTGGTATCAAAATCTGTATTAGTTTCCTAGGGCTGCCATTATAAGTGACTTGGTAATTTATTATCTCTCAGTTCTGAGGCCAGAAGTCTAAAATCAAGCTGTTTCTATGGCCACATGTCCTCTGAATACTCTAGGGAAAACTCTTTTGCCTCCTCCTAGCTTCTGGTGGCTCCTGGAAATCCTTGGCATTCCTTAGGTTGCAGATGCATTGCTCAATTTCTGCCTCCATCTTCATATGGAGGCAGAAATTGATTGGAATCCAACAGTGATTGGATATGGGCCCATTCTAATCCAGTATGACATCATCTTAACTTAATTGCATCTTCAAAGATCCTATTTCCAAATAAGATTATACATATACAGGTTGCAGGTGGACATGAATTTGGGGGAAGACACTCTTTACCCCACCACTGAGCACATGTTGGAACAAATTACAAGACCAGTGGATTCTTGTAATATAGTTCTTATAAATGCTATCTTGACTCAGTTTTGAAGCTCTGGCTGGAGGCTAGTCAATTCCCCTTCTTGAGTAGCTAATTAAATCCACACCCCAACCACTTTCTTTATCAGGCTCTCACACTATGGGCTGCTATATACCTATCCTAATCACTCCAGGGCCAGATATGAGACAGGGGAAGCCCCTATGCCCACGAGCCTGCTGAAATGATTCAAACTAGCCAATCCTAACCCTGGTTACCCTGCCTAATTCATTCATTCCCAAGGAAATCATCATAAAATCTTTTGTGTACACGTTCCTCTTCGCCCTCTCTGTCTCTTGACCTCACCATTGGTCATTTTTTGTCCCCCACTGCCACCCTCTTGCCCCCACATGATGTGTACTTCTTCTCTTGAGAACTTTGAGTAAAATAAACTATCTTTTCAGTGTCAGTTGTCTCCTGATCTATTGGCCTTACCATACCTAAATAATAATAATAATGATAAATAATCATGATAAATAAAACCTACCAAAACAATTGGCCCAGCAAAGCAGGATGGTTTGCTTCCAGACCAAATGACATGTCACTAGACTTTTCTGACTTACAGGTTCTTCCAGGCAGCAGTAGCTACCTGAGCAGGTGTGCCACCAGCTGGCATGTTGGTGCTGTGGGCCATAGCTACTTTTTGTTGCCTCTACCAGATGTTGCTGTGAATCTACTCCACAAATTGTGAAATTTATGAACAGTCCTCTCTTGTGTCCTCTCTGAGTCAAGGTGTTAAGTGTCCAGGACAGAGCACCTAGGGGCAGCTCAAATTAATTGGCTACTTCTGATTGTTAAAAGGTTCCTCTGAAGGGAGTAAGGTATGATCCCATCCAAGTGGCAGGGAATGGGTCTGATTAGCCTACTGGTCAGCAAGTGGTGGGGCCAATGAAGTCATTATATCCTATAACAGAATCATTTTATTTGGCCTGTTCCACACTATGTAGGAAACTACTCTCTTCTCAAACCATTCATAGGGTCAATATGAGGCATCCTCGTGACCATGGCACCCACAGGTCCTGTGGTAAAGGAAAGGATTGTTATGCTGTTGCTTGTCTAACTGCATGACTCAGCGGGGTAGGAGAGGCCACCTGGATGGAAGCCAATAGCACAAAGCTTAATGAAAAGGGAAAGTTTGGGGGACACTATCCCTACTCTATCTAAGACCCCTGAGATAGTCACACCATTGTTTCAGGAATGTAAAACTCTGGGCAACACTCATGGGCCTTTCTGAGTAGTGCTGCTCACCAGCACACCAAGGGCCTTATGCTCAAAACCTGGATCCTCAAAGTACTGATAAGGCCACTGTTGCTCTCCTGGAAGTGGATGTGGACCCCTCCGAGGTCAAATTAGACATCATAGACAGGGCGACCACCCCCTA